ATGGTCACTTCGCCTATGTGGCTATTTCTGAAATTCCCCTGTAAAACTACAAAGTTTTAATATAAATCAAACTGAATTCTGGTGACCACTGGCCACCTCGCTTAAGTAGCCAAGATAGGAGTGAAAAAACTAACAAATTTATTAGGAATGTCCTAAACTGATGAATATCTCTATTGATATGGCCAACGGAATAGGAAAATACATTTCCGTACTCAACGCATTATTTGAAGCACATTAAATGGAATTGAGCTTTGTTACTATAGTTTTGAAACATTTTGACCAGTTTCTTCCCACAGATGATATTTAAATGAAATAATCTTTACTTACACTGGACAAATTTTATCTCCAGAATTTAGTAAGAAAAAAGACAATTAAATATTTATTTAATAATTTTATACAAAAACTGATTGTATTTTGTAAAAATATAACTGTAAACCATATAGTACAGTACTAAACATTTCTGTTTAGTACTGTATTATATTTGCGTTTTTCATGAACTATAGAGAGCGCTATACTTTTACAAAATGGCTACTCTCTCTGGGTTGCTTGTAACTAGTCAACATAAAATTAATCATATATTGCTGTCAGATATAATGATATATGCTGCATGTAGCTATTTATCAAGATATTTTATACGATAATAATAATTATTCTCCTTCTATGAAATATCTCGATAAACAGCTTCAAGCAGCATATATCCTAGCATATAACATGACGTGTCCCGATAGCAAAAATTATTATTGCTAGCGGGACACGTCATTTTATGGGTAGGCTATTATTGAAACAAATCGTTCGCGAGATCGTTCTATATATAGGCTATTTGTGCTCTTTATGATCAAACATTAGCTTTGACATCTGTCCCGCAAAAGTTACTGGCATTTTAAACTTAAAGGAAAAATTTTGTACAATTGACAGTATAACTTGTTTGTATAAAGCTGGACAATCGATAAACTTTTCTTGCCAGTTCTTGACAGTCGAATCCACTCTTTCCGTCGTTTAGTTTTTCCGAATTCTGATTTCCGAATAATCATGTTTTTCATGTGGAAATGGATTAAAACTTATATCGAGCTCCCTTATGGTTTTGGAATTTCAATTTGGAACACAACGGAAAGTTTTGCTTTTCCTATTGCTATTCATCTTTACTGCTGACAATACACAAGAACGATTCAAACGATTCAAATAAAATAATTTTGTTTTTAATTAAATACCAGCGGGCAAGCATCGGATGAAAAATGCGAATATTACTTGAATAAATCCTAATGCAAACAGCTAGCATTCATTGTTCTATACTATACTGTATAGTACAGTACTGTACATATGCTCTAAATTTCAATATTCTATTATTCAGTGTTAATATATTACCCTATATGAAAGTTTGAATTACTGTATATTGCGAAGGATACAATAGGTTATTAAGTAAATTTTTAAATTTTATTTTATTTATTCTTTTTTGATTGCTTTTATAATATGTATTAAACTTTTAGCAACAGTTCTGTATATCAATTTTTTATAACCCCACCTAGGTTATCAACTCATTTATGTGGCCTGAAATTGTATACCCCGAAAGTGGCCTCATAAATGTATGTATATATACTTAACTGTATATATAATAATGATAGTAGTACGATCGTAATAGAATTCGCTTCTTAATACTTCGATAGTAGGCCTATTACATAATTACGGACGATATGCATCACTCCACGTATAATAACTGATAAAGTTGTGAAGCTAGTCTTTACATTAGAGGACATTTGTTTATATTTGAGTCTCGAAATATCGGTCATTGTCGACGTATTTTCCGTACGAAAAATGGAGCATTCCTCAATTTATTGAAAATATGGCTATATCCTCTTCAGCTAATATTTCATTCGTTCTTTCATTTACAGTGTTATATACAGTTTTATACTTTATAAAAGCATATTTAAAAATAACTGGCATCGTCCCGTTTTTAAAGTATAATAAAATGATAAAAACGCTGAAGTTAGACATAACGTTTACGCGATAAAATTTTAACAGTAAAAACCGAAGGTTTTAATTTACGTTACAATTATAATATCCGGAATAAACACGGATAAAAAAGAAAAATAAAGTTGAACACCGATTAGTCGAGCAAAATTCCCACGCCAATGACGTCAGTGGGGTTAAAGACGACCTTTGCCGGTTGCCGAGGTCATCGATGTCACCGTAAAACCAACATTCTTATCAATTGTATCAAAATCACGAAAAATGGCGGATGTATTTAATGTTGTGTAAATTATCGAGAGGAGAAAGGTAAATTAACATTTTGTTTTTTTCTTAAGTACCATTTCATGACACGGTCGTTACCGGAAAGAGCTTATTGGCGAAATTGATACGTGGGTAGCGCACGTGACCTTCTTAAACACCCTAATTCGCGGTTGAGGCCGTTTGACAACTAAATAAATTCGCTGTTGGCGAAAAGTTCTAATCTTCCATAGCAGTAGTAAAAATTATTGCCCAACACTTTATGCAAGTTATAATTTAGATATTAATGTATTTGATGTCTTAATCGTTTTCGTTCGGCCGAATGCAACGGAGTCGTGAGCTACTGATGGTTTTATGAATCACGCTGCATAAATACGGTAAAGACAGTACGAATTAATGGGGGACAATAATGAAAAATTATGTTTTGACACGCAGCCTTTTTGATCCACGTTGGCACAGTTATGTCCCATTCTGGGCCTCCGCTTTCTTCTATAAAACAACGTTAGTAAAGTGATTAAAAAATAACAAAAGTAAAATTTTTTCCGTATTATAAATAATATTCTAGAGAAAGTCTAAAGGCGTTTTAAAGTTACGAAAAAGAAATAAAAATGATAAATTTGGGAAATAAATTGAAAGTATCATCCCTAGTAAATTATAGATTGTAAAGAACTAAATAATAATAAAATAGTTTTAATTTTGGTGTTGATTTAGGATACGAATCAAACTTTGTCTTTCGCTATAGCAAAGGCCTCTTGCCCTTTGGTTTCCATTTCTGGTCTCGTCTTTAATCTAACTCCGGGTTCTCGAGATTAAGGAAAGACGACAGACAGTGGGAATTTATAGGTCTACAATTTTTCAAATTGCAGCCCAACAATATATTTGATACACAAGTAATTTACTCCACAACACACGCAGGAACTTATCTATCTGTATCTATTGAAAGTACGAGATAAGTTCTGTTCGAAAGTAATTTTTCATATTTAGGCAAAAAAGCAAATTTGTGTTAGTAGCCATTGTTGATGTTTCGATTTTGTTTTTATTATAAAAAAGATGCATACAAAACAACCTTCAAACAACAGCCATTTTTTTTGTATTTGTCAGTACCCGTTGTTCAGATGTTTGACTATATGAACAATTACACTTTATTCTCAGAAAGTAGCGTAAAAAATTTCTGTTCACATAAAATTCTAAGTGTTTATATGAATTATATCTTTATCCTCAATGAAGAAAAATGTTCTATTTTTAAAACTACGTTTTAATGTATCCTTGAATACCTATATTAAAAATAAATTTTAAATTTTATGAGTACAATAATTTATTACTTAATGAAAAAAAAAGAAAAAATTATTAGTTATGTAAAACATGTATTTATTAGGAATATCTGAATGCAAATATCATACAAAACTGAATAATATTTCGTATTTTTTAAACATTAAATTACAGCAAAAAAATCACGGATTTGATGTAAAATTGTTAAATTATATATTCATTGCCATAATATAAAATTGAAATAATTAAAATGCATATAATCTGGAAGTATTCTTTGAGATGATACGAAGAGCGAGGGAGAAAAAGATTAGCAATGGAAATAACGGTCCGATCAAAAAGTTGTGTCAAAGGTTAAAAAGCTTTAAACACGGAGGTGTTGAACCGTAACAAATTATAGTTATATATACGTCTATCGGGCAATATACTTCTTAACAGGATAACCTTATCTTGGCGGGATCTATCTACTCGACGTAGAATGATAAATGATATATTGGTTTGCATAATTTGGTGAATTTGACTCTAGAAATAGCTTCAAAAACTAGGCATATCAATTATGTAGAATGCAACGCGTGACTTGTCCTATTTAACATTCGCCTAACGTTTTTAACACGTACTTAACACAAGCATTTGACAGTTTCTCACCTCGCCGGGCTATTCGTCTGCGGTAGTGTTCTCGTAAACTCCGAACGAGGAATATTTTGTTATAACTGGAATTTAGTCTGATTAATTACGTTACCTTTCACTTGTTCCAATTAATAAGCTGATTAATTTAAATCGAAGAATAAAAACTTTGTTAATTATCTAAACAAAAAGTTAAATTAACAACTTAACGTATATTTTAAAGAACTTTAAGTGGATCGAAGCGCGGTTTTGCCATAATAAATCCTTGAAGAGCAATAAAAAAGTAATCATTTCGCATACTTTTAACAGACCTCTTAACATCACAAATATTATTGTTACATAGATAATTAATAATACTTAATCCGCTAAACGTTTTTATGAAAAATTCGTGACATATATCATGGATATAAAATGATTAAACAGCTGATATCACGCAAGTCGGCCGACATCAAACGAACCGAGTTGTTCTTTCTCACCCGGAACATCTCTTGTCACGGCCGAAACTCGGGGGAGGTCTTATTAAGAAAAAAAAGCAACAAGTAGGAGAAAAGTTGAATATATTTAGTGGCGTTTAATGCAGAACTCGGGGGTTAACCTGCAATCGTTAGTGGGACATGGCGTTAAACCCTCTGGGAATTAACGAAAGTTACCTGTTTTAAACGAGTGTAGCTCGGTGAAGTAACCATAGTTCACTCGGCGGAAGCACAATCGTGCCGATCGACCAACCAGAACGAAATCCTTCCGTATAGAGCGAGCGGAGGCACGATTCACCCCGGGGTTAGGTCGTAACCTTTAACCTCCCATACAATAGCGGCTCGGTACTTCTGTCAGTTGGTGGAACGAAGGATTAAAGAGCTGTACGGTTAGGAAACACCTTAATGTAAAAGATGAACTATCAGGGTAGGGTGATCTACCATTGCAGCGACGGCGACGCGTCTAGGTCCGTCTGGGCCTATTACGGTGCCACTTATGACGGCGGATGTACCAGAAACGGTAAAAATCGTCGACCGTGCAGATTTGGAAACGCAGAGAGTCCCGCAACCACCGTTGCCAGAAGGAACGAAAGAGAAAGGAAGAGAGTGAGATTGGTGAATTTGGGGTTCGCTGCTCTTAGACAGCACGTCCCGTACAGAACTCGTACCAAGAGAGCTAGTAAAGTAGAGACTCTTCGATCTGCTATTTTGTATATCAAACAACTGCAGCGTTTGTTGGCTGAACACGATTTGTCTTGTAGAAATTCGCAGCCACCGGCGGCGCCGCCCTCGTTTACTACCTTCTTAACACCCGGCCACTTTGATCACCGGGATGTCAATCAGCAGAACGACTTAGCACAAAATGGATATTATTGTGCAAGAAATCAGATTAATCAATAACGGTAAGTCTGCTGTCTTGCGTAAACATCGAACTCCACAACCGTTACAGCACTAAATTTAATTGCTTAAATCTTTAAAGATTCTATTATTGTAAGAATAGTTGTTTATCAAAAAGGCCAAAACTTAGGTTACATCATTTAAATTTCCAAAACTATTTTAATAACTTATTTATAAATAGAATATGTCTCTTATTTTTCTAATATTTTAAAATTATAAATATCTTAAAATTAAAATTTTATAATTTTTCTTGTGTAATTCCAGATGTATTAATAATTCCTAATTTTATATAAGCCAAATATTTATTAACGTAGAAAATATTCCAAGAAACATCTTTAAAACTGACGTAATTATGTAAAATCTTTTTGAATTCGTAAGAACAAATTTAAAGTTATATTTCGTTTATAATAAAAGATAAAATTCAATCAATTAAATGATTTAATTATACAAAACATATATATAAAATGCTTTGTTCGTTGATATAAAATGCTTTAATATCGTCAACGAAAGATTTCCTTACATTTCTGAATGCAATATATTCTAAAGCCAAATTAAAATTGAATTTTGGTTAAATTTGTATAATTCGAATAGTCAAAATCCCAAAAATGTTTCAAAATTCAGATGAACTTTGCATTCTTTCTAGTGTTTTCACACTTACAAATCCCTCGAAATTAACATCACAAAACAATTTTGTTTTTATTTTACTTCAGTAACAAATAATGAAAATGTTTTATTTTAAAAAGTTATTAACATTTAAAAAATTTTCCTAATATCCTTACAAATTATCTGTTGAGATATTATCTTTAGAGATTATTTCCTTGTTAGCTTAAATAAGTAATTATGGATGGTCCGAAATTATTTTCCTTCGAATCGAATAGTTGTAAATAAAACATTTTGCTAAAATTTGATGTAGAATTAATTTGGAAGGTTTTTCTACTCAAAATCTTAACATTTTCGTAAGAGTTTCGTGCATAATTAGTTCAAATAAAAATTGAGATGAAGTTTTTCCTTTAACAAAAGTCTAGTTGTAAACTGTAACTATGTTGATGTACTTACACTGTAATTAAGTGTTTTGAAAGATGTTCTTTGTAAGTTTTAAAATAGATAAGGAAACTACACTTTGTTATTCTGTAACTCCTTATTACCTGAAATACGAGTCGTCGAGTGATCTCAGTTCTGACGAAAGGTGTCTGACACGAAAGAGTCTTTTGTTTATGATGAGAGTAGAATTAGCAACTTTAATAGCACTCGATGCTAAAAATAACAAAAAAATATACCTAATTTGTAAATATAATTTCAAAAGTCTGCTAATTAACATATATATTAAGTCCTCTTTAGTGATTTCCTGTAGAGAACGAGAGCAAAACTGAAGATGAAGATAAGACTTTCCTTAAAATTTAGTATAAATATTTTTGCCTCAATCAATGGTTATAATTTTATATATACATATATAGAATCCGAATAAATCGTTAGAATATGGATTTATAATGTCACATTACAATGTTTTCAGATTTTAGATATTGAAGATTGAGACTCGCGTCATTTAAGATATAACAGTAAACAACTTAAGATGCGATCTCAATTAAATTTTAAGAGTATTAAAATTTTCATTAACTTATATAAAATTTTACGTAAGACGTTTCATTCGATATTTTTATAAAAATGCTTATTAGTTGTCTTTTAGTAATGATCAGAAATGAGTTCTGCTCAATTCGGATGGATCTTATTTTGGAATCCGTAGACTTCGGGGTTCGTGAACTTGCACCGTATCTCGTACAGAGAAAAATTACACCTTTATTTTCGGTAGCATCTAACTGAAATTTAGCATTTCCTTCAGTTATTAATATAAACAATAAATCGTAGTATTAATGGTAGCAGTAGGTCTGATATTGTCGCTGATAGAAAGATATTTTCATAATCACATTACAGTTGCGCATACATTACTCTATCTTAAATCTTTTTAAAATTAATTAATACTGCGATAACTGCATTTCAATATAATTAATTTTCTTTGAAATCCTGTGATTTTATTTTATGCCTTTTAACAATAAGTTATCATTCTGAAAAATGGTATATGGGGTTTACCAAACTAGTATAAAAAAGGTCTCTTCTCTTCTCTGGTCACAGTATTTAAACTATACAAAGGTAACACAGTAATTAGTCTTATAATTCAAGACCGGCATGAAAATCTACAGAAAACTGAAAGTGTTATGATGGATTCTTCAGAATTTTGAGCATAAGTTGAGGACTGAAAAAATTTACCTGAGAGTACTAAATTAATATTAGCATCTTAATGAAAAGAGGGAATTTGCGACGATAAAAAGATATAGTTTATTATTAAATCTTCAGGAACTAAATATTTTCATATCGTACGGAATCAAACTAAATTTTGATTCCGTACGATATGAAAATATTATATTGTTATATTATATTATTATATTATTTGTTTATATTATAAATATTATTGAAATAGCAGAAATAGCAAATATTTTTATATTTATCTGATCTCTGGTAGATATGATTAACGAAATGATAAGTGAAAGCTTCATTTACAACTTTGTACTGTCAATTCATAAAGCTCGAAAACATTTTAATTTTTCATGAAGATATCATGATTTACATTTAACATTTTTTTTTTTTCTAAGCTTCAAAAATTCCTAAATTCTCAGAGCTTCAAATATTACTTAGAGTCGAAAATTGTTTTAGATCCTTATTTTTCGTGGAGAATTAGGATTGGGGTATCATTTTATCTATTCCATCCAAAATGTCAACTCCACTGTGGATTAAATGGAGTCCATTGTTTCGGATATTAAAACTTAGAAAGTTTTATAGTAAATTAGACTTTAGTATATCGGATCCAGACCCTCATTACCTAGCTTAGCCGCGCATGCAAAAGTCTTTAATGTCTATAGAATGGGGATTTAAAAATTGTAGGGTTACAAATATTGTATATATTTTCAATAAAATTTTTGAAATGAAATGAAATTTTTGAATGAAAGCAAATTTTTGTTACCGTGGATAGTACAGGTAGGCCTCCTACAACGCGGTACCTTTACAACGCGTTTTCGCTCCAACGCGGTTGGAAAAATGCGGATATTTTCTTACAACGCGGTACTTTTACAACGCGGTTTACGATATTTAGAAACGAACAGAAAAATCACATAACAGAAAAATCGCAACGGATCACGTAATACACGCCGCAGTTCGGTGTACAGAGCTAAATGTTCTGGAAAACAGCTGTTTTTCCACTTTGACGTGTTATTCCCATGAAAGTTTCAGGGGAAGACTGGTTTCTAGACAGATGTGCATCAGTTACCATAAACACTAAAATATATAACTGAATTTTCAATAATTTATACTCTTTCAATAGGTGGGGACCGCAAAAATGGTCCAAAATACAGTATAAACGTCTATTGGGTGTATATTTTTAACAACATAGTGAAGGGAAGTTACTTTTTGCGATTTTTACTGTCCACAAAACTGCTTGAAAAAATTTTAGCTATAACAATGTCGAATGAAAAGAAAGGACCGTCGTTAGAAAAGAAGTTTATTAATACATCTCTTCAAACAAAGATAGAAATTTTGGATCGAATTAAAAATCAGGAGCGGATAGTATAATAATGATAGTAGT